GACACTCAGTGTGGCAGCCTGTGCTGGAGGTTTGGGTCTACAGTTAAACACCAAACTGGGAATAAAGAAGAGGCAAAATCTACAAATCCAGCCAGGAAAAGAAAAGATTAAAAATATAACAATAGATACCAATTCTCTTTTTAACATCTGTCTCTGTTCCCTTGTTCATATTCATTAGAGCCGGGCAAATTTTCTATAGCTGACCCCAGACCAGAGGACTGTGAGAGTTTATTGCAAACTCCAGCACCAGGCTAGATCCTCTGACAGATTTTACATCATCTGCGTGACTGATACGTGAAGTCTCCTTAATGAAATGCTAGATCTGGAAGCTTTTATCTCGGGAAACTCTGGAACCAGATTGCAAACGTGTGTCTCCCCATCAGAATCACAGATTCCGTCTTATTTTTCATATGGTCAAGTTGCATCCTACTGCCCCTCTTCAATCTGGGTTTTGATGGCAATGCAACTTTCTTGTATCAGAAATAGTGTGACCAGCAGGACTAAGGGAGTAATTGTCCCCCTGTACTCAGCACTAGTAAGGCCACACCTCAAATACTGCGCTGAGTTTTCTACAAGAAAGACATTGAGATGCTGTAGAGTGTCCGAAGAAGAGCAGCGAAGCTGGTAAAGGGTCCAGAGCGCAAGTCCTGTGAGGAGCAGCTGAGGGAACGGGGGTTGTTTTGCCTGGAGACAAGGAGGCTCAGGAGAGTTGCTTTCTACAACTGCCTGAAAGGAGGCTGTAGCGAGGTGGGTGTTGGTCTCTTCTCCCAAGTAACAAGTGATAGGATGAGAGGAAACAGCCTTAAGTTGTTCCATGTGAGGTTTATATTGGATATTAGGAAAATTTTTTTCCCAAAAAAGGTTGTCAAGTACTGGAACAGGCTGCCCAGGGAAGGGGTTGAGTCACCACCCCTGGAGGTATTTAAAAGACGTGAAGATGTGCCACTTAGGGACATGGTTTAGTGGTGGACTTGGCAGTTTTAAATTAATGGTTGGACTCGATGTGCTTAAAGGTCTTTTCCAACCTAAACGATGATATGATTCTATGATTCTTAGTGGTGTAGAGCTTGTGGAAGAGGACATTATTGTGTGTCCTGGCTGTTTCATTGGGTCAGGACTGAGAGTTTTTGTCTTTCTCTATTTCCTGCAAAGAGAAAATGAAAATAATGTTTATTCTGGCCTTCCTCATGTTGCTAGTCAATGACACCTACTAAAGGCACATAGCCTCAGGTAAAAGATATAGTAGAAGTGAAAAGTATTCATATTTATGGATGGATTTGGGTTTTTTTCATTCTAAACTAAATGAATCTTCTCGGCATTGTTTTTAATTTTTTTCCTATGTTCCTGGAGCCAGGCAAGGCATATGCTGGGGTGTCCATGTGCGATGTGGACACCCAGCTCAACTCCTTCTCCAAGTGCTGGTCTTTCCCTTTGTTGTTTGGTGAACCAGGGGAAAGTCACTGTTTGGTGGCCGAGCAAGGACCAAGGGATGGAGCCGCACACACCTTGCAGGCAGTCCCAGCACACATCCATACAGAAGATGAAGCTGCAGCCACTTTGCTGATTTTTGCCCAGCTCTGAGTCCCTGGACAGGGGTAATGCTACTCTGGATCGCAGCATGACTCTTGAGCTGTTCCCAGGGTTAAATGCTTTTCAAGTCACTGCACTTGGCTACTCCTCCTTTGACTTTTTCTTTGCTGAGAATCAAGATCTAAATCAGCAGGGGAAAAGGTTCCTTGTGCTGTTGTTTGGGACAGTGTGTCCAACTCCGTGAGCCAGTGCCAACCACAAGACGGGAGCAGTCCTCTTCCACTAATAAGAAACCCCTTCTACCCTCTCTTTCTGGTCAGATAATTTTGTCTTAAATTTCTTGAAGACAAAGACCTAATCCTGCTCTTGCTGCCTGCAGTTTCAACTCTGCCTCCTGTGCACTGCTCAAAATTGCCATAGAAAGCGCAAACCTGATGCTGGTGTTAAAAAATAAATAATTAAATAAATAAATTATCCCAAGACTCGAACAAAGAAATTGCAGCTGCACTTTGTGAGTGCCCAGGTCTGTTCAGAACATGATGCCAAGTCCTGTCTCAACAGGGTAGGGAGAGTAGGGATCAAGACCAGCTTTAGACAAAGAGTCCACATCTCCACCATGAGTTTAAAGCATTTGAGCTCTCCCACAGCTGCCCTAGCAGGTTTGCTCCTGGAAGAGCATTGACTTATGTCAGTCCTTGGGCACCATACAGGGAGCAGCATTCCTAATGACATTACAGTTGAGTTAACCCTATTTTGGAGGATAAAAGCCATATGGACGTAAGCTCCATATGGAAAGTAGCCACAGCTTTGGGTGCTAATTTACAGAGTATCCTTGGGAGGTGAACCCCAGCCATATCTCTTTCCCACACCAGGGAGACTCTATAGGTGACAGCAAACGTAATACAAATCCCATGTACCATTACACAAAGTTAAGATACGAATAAATAGGAGCACGGATCCCTCAACTCTCTGCATGTACCTGGGATGCTGTTGACACTCTGAATAAGCAAGTGGCTGCAAACTTACCAGCTGTTCCTCCTGAGTCCTTGGATTAAGCTCTGGTTTGCAATACATCATTTAAGAGGTTGCAAATATTTTCCATGTGTTGAAATAAAATTATAAACAGATTGAGCCTGGGTACAGTAGATCCACTGGACTAAATTTGACTAAGAAAAGCTTATGATTAAGGAATGAGGCTTAAGGGGGATAGGGATTGAGCTGGCATGGAGGGAAAGTTTGTCATTTTAATGAAAAAATTTTTGTGGAAGTGTACTCTCTGCAAACATTGAAGGAGATAATCGTTGTGCAGGAAAGCACGTGATGTAAATCAGTATCTCCTAAAGCAGTCCATCTCTTGAATATAACAAAAGTAACTGTATGAAATTGCAAAACAGCACGCACTGCATTTTCATGGGGAAATGTGCTGTATTTAGTCATACTAATTACTGCGTGGGCTCAATTTTCAGTGCAATCAATCCACGGGAAACAAAAGGGCTGCAGGGGAAATATAAAAAGACAGTCAGCTAATAAGAGCCAGATTCAATAAAACTGTGTCTGCATTCAGTGAACGGCGAGGCAGCGGTGTGTCCATTCTCCCTCGGCAAGTCACGCAATGGGCTGGGCAAAGGCTGTAGGGCTGAGAGGAGCTTGAAGCAACACCCTGTGTATATATACATATGTATATATACATTTATGTAGATGAGAAATGCAACTCCTGTTGTGAGAAACTAGGAAAGAAGGGGGTTTAATTCAAGTTTTTCTGTGCAGCGATCAGGGTGTCGTCTCAGCACAGGTTGTTGTGTGATGCAAGTTCTGGCGGCGCAGGCTCAGCCTGCCATGCCTCTATCCCCGCTGTGCCAGGAGTCACAGGCTCTCCAATTCAGTCCAGTACCAGCGACTTACCCCTGCCCCACCGTCAGCCCAGCACTGCTGCTCCAGCCTCTCTCTGCCAGCAGCAAGCCCCAGGGCTGCTGGTACAGCCAGGGGGTCTCTTGGGTGGACTTCAGACCCTGGGTGAACTTCACCTTTAGTGCAGAGTTTCAGTTTAATGCCAATATTTTAGCAAGCTATTTGGTTTGTTTGCCTAGCACTTAATAGGAGGATTATCTGTTGTGGTTTTTTTTGTTGGTTTTTTATTTTTCTTCCAAGGTTGTGTTTAATTTTCGAAGTTGAATGTGTTCAACTTTAGCAGTAGCCTTCTCTCCCATTCTGGCTCCAAACTTCCCTAGAAAGTGGCTTCATGGCATTATTCAAGCAGATTATGGCTTGGAGTGTCTGAATTACCTAGTGTTCGTATAATGGCAAGCTCCCAGACGATATGTATTTAATGACTGTAATAATTTATTATTTTCCCTTTATTAGGTTTGTTTTTAAAGAAAGTTTTACTGTGCTATTTACGATATGATAAGTGGTGCAACTTGCTGAAAAAACATATCGCATACATTTTATTTTTTAATAGGTTTTGCTTGTTAAAATTGAAATCTTTTATTTACCCTAGTAGGGCAGTTTTTTGCTGACAGTTTTATTATTTCAATTACTCAGATATTTCTTTCCTTTTTTGTTTCCCCAGATACTCCTCCAGGGAGTTTTAATGTGTCCATTCTTTATTTAAGATTGGGTTTAGAACATGTTATTTCTAGCAGGGCAGAGGAAAAGTGTACTATAGCAGGCATTAAATAGTGGGATGTCAAGGTTTTACTTTTTTTCCTCTTTGAGTTGTGGAATCCTTTCCCCATCTGTGTCATCTGGTGATTAATTACGCTGATAATCTGCTCTCCCTCATCAATAACTGTCTGCTACTAGTGCTGGGCAGAGGCCGTGCTCTGCCTGAGGAGTTTGTGGCTGCTGATAAATGAATGTAGATGTATGAGTAAAGGGGGGGACCTCTGAGAGCATTTAAAATTGCCAGAGACACTGAGTCATTTAATAAACTAGCGCTCTATAGGTACTGGCAGCAACTGCTGTATGCATTTCACTCACTGGTGGGAAAAGGAGAATGGCACCATTCCTCCAGGGAAAAACCTCCGCCTTGCTTGGGGGAGTGAAAAGGGAATCCCAAGGGATCCTACTAGTAGGGAGCCTTACAATCTCAGTGGGCTAGCACAGCAGGGAGAGCAGACTGAATTTGCCTATGCAAAGTTCCCTAGGGTGGGACAGTGTGGAAACCTATGTCTGCTCCCCTGGCCCCTGCTAGGGCATCGTTGTGATTTCCCTTTGCAAGTTTTAGTGAGTCTTTGACCACTCTCTGATGTGTGATGGATTTTATTTTTCATTAAAGCATGACCAGTCGTTGGAGTATGAGAAAACCAAACCAAATGCTTGTTGGGACAGTGGGAGAGCCCCCGGAGCTCCAGATGGATGTGTGTTTGGACTGCCTGTGGCCAGGGCACGACCTTCACCATCCTTTAGTGAGGTGGAAAGCACATTGCAAAGCATGTCCTCACACTTCTGCATCCCGTCATGTTTTCCAGAGTGTCCGGGGGAGAGCTTTTCGACCGCATTGTTGAGAAAGGTTTCTACACTGAGAAGGACGCCAGCACCCTGATCCGGCAGGTCCTGGATGCCGTCTACTACCTGCACCGAATGGGCATCGTGCACAGGGACCTCAAGGTACAACCACCGTGTGGCTCGGTCCTCCAGGCAGTGTTAATGAATGTTGCGTAATTATGTGAGTCTAACACATGTAAATCCAGCCTCCACTGGGACTGGCTGTTTCAGTAAGATTTTACCATAAGAGGGATGCTCTGAAGGCTTCATAACCTTCCATCATAATTAGTTTTAATGAGGACAATCAATGGTGTTACAATGGGAGTTTTGCACATATGACGTGGGGAAAAAACTCATTAAGACCTGAAATGTTACATTAAGGCAGGAAACTCATCTTAACTGGGATGTGTTTACGGCTCTAAAGTATCTTGCAAATTTGCTGTGCTAAACTTACTTTTACTTAATAATAATTATAACGATAAATAGTGTGGGAAAGTTGAATATTTTTCTATATGTAATTTGGACCAGTGTTTTTGGAGACACTGCTAACCGCAAGGATTCTTCTAAGGAACATTGTGTGCCAATGTGAGTTTTAGATAATTTTCGTCTCAGCTATACTGTGTTAACACATCAAAAACTCCCAGCTTTTCTGGTTAAAAAAACAAAACCAAAACCAAAACAAAACAAAACCACCAAAAAAACCCAACAACCAAAAACCCAACATTATTTCTGTATTGTTTCCTTCCAATATCTTAAACTGTCACTAAGATAAGCAGAAAGGCTTGGATTTCATAACACACAGCTAATCCTCCCCATCTTTAGTATCTTAAATAATAAATTAGCAGAAGACAGTAGAAAAAGATATAAATGTCAGAAGAAAACTGTGTGTTCAGTTCCTGAGCTTTACCAAAGTTTACTGCCAGAAATGAAGAATTCAGTGAATGAAATAACATTTCTGTTTTTGAAGGCGCGCTCCAAACTGGAGTTTCCTTGGATGTTACTGTTGTGGCTTTCAACTATACCCATGTAAAGAGAGGGGAATTTGGCTAAACAGGTCATATTGTGTGAAGGCTTCATGAACATTTAATGGAGTCAAGAGCCACAAAGAAGTTTTCTTGGGTTTTCTGTAAGGAGGCACTTCCATCTCCTACAACCTTCATGTATTGCTCTCAGTTCCCTATGTTGTTACACTGAAGTACACAGAAATATCCTCATATTTACTAGAGTTCCACCACATTTCAGTATGGAAGCATTGTTTAGTATTTTAACATGACCAGCTTTCTCCCGAGTTCAATTTGTGGTAAATAACGTCAGGCTTCTTTCTGCCACCAATGTTTTTGGAGGGAGGTCCAAGTCCTCTTAATTCAGATACTCCATTGTACAAGCTCTTAATATTCCTGTCTTCATAATTTGAAGAAAGGCTGTAGCTCTCACTTTAAAACAGATTAATCTTATTTAAAATTCCTATAATAAAATATGAGGTCTGGTAAATGGGAAGTGGACTAATCTACAAATTACTTCTAGACTTTATGTAAGGACATGCTGAATTTAGGTCAAAATAACCTTTTCCAGTCATATTTTGGGGCAAAGACTAGCTCTTTTTCTTACTTTTGTTTGCAAGTCTTTGTCAGTACCATATCAGTTGTTAAAATGACTCATAAAATATGGTATATGAGGAACACCTGCTGTGAATTTCTGTTAGCACAAACATACCATGATGGCAAAAATAGGGATATAATAAGGCTTTTTATGATCTCAAAGTATCAAGATAAGTGTAAGTTTCAAATTGTGATCCCCAAAATGAAACTCTGGGAAAGAATCCACTGTATAAAAATAAAACCCATGAAGCATCTATAATAATTATTTATTGTAATTATGTGTTATTCAGATACCAAAATAGTACTTGGTGTAGTTAGGAAAAGCAGATCTGGGCTCCAAGTCTCTAATCTAAGTAACTCGGCAGCAGATAACAAGAGATGGCAGCAGATGAAGTCCAGGGAGTCCAGGATGTACAAAAGGACTGAAAGGCTCAAGCAGCTTTGCTTGGCACAGAACCACCTTGTTAACACTTTTAAAATTAACCAGCTCGAAGAACCAGACTTCTTTTAAAGGGGTTTTAAACAAGATTAAGTTTTAAATGGGTAGTTTTCTTGGGCTTACTATATATGAGTAAGTGGGAGCCTGAGGTGAATTAGCAGAAATCGTTAGGAAATAATTGTTTTCCCTTAATATACTAACTCTACCAACCCCTCAGCAGGCCAGAAGTGCACTAGTAACAATCAGGAGTAACTCCAACAAGGACAGACCATGGCATAAAACTAACTCACGTGGTGCCTGAAAACTGTCAGCATTATAATAGCCAGTTAAAGCACTGGACTTACGAGGTATCATAAGAAACATAAATGGTCCAACTTCATAATTATTTTTTCAAATAGAATAATTTCCCTTTCTGCTTCAGTCCCAGCTGGCTCACAGCTGTGGAAGCAGCTTGTAGATCTTCTCATGGCCATCATTTCCCATGGATAAAGCCATCACTATGTGGCCTCACACTGGGGCCAGGGAGCCAGAAAGTGCTTTAACATCCACTTGAAGCTAAATGCAAACCTCAGAGAAGGGTGGAAGGCAACATCACCCCCCTGTGTTTCTTCATCCCAGCTTTCCCCAGAAGTTACAGGATGGAGGAGGGAAGATAGATACTGGTGCTGCTGCAGGGACATTGTTCCTCATCACAAATCCAGGCTTGGGTGTGTCCCAAGGAGTTTGATGATGTTGTGTGGCTGCAGCTACTTCTCACCATTTCCTGGAGCGCACAGTTGGCTGACAAACAAAATATGTTGCATGCGGGTGGACATTTGTACCAGCTTCTGGGCAAGAAGTCTACACCGGGGTTATGCTGAAACATTGGGTATCCATCACTTTTATAGATGAAGACCCCAAGGTCTGGGGGTGATGCAGTGGCACCCCGTTACTCCCAGGCTATGACAGTGCTAGCAGATGCTGCTGGACCTTTTTGCTAGCCCAGACATTAAGTAGGGGAAGAAGTGTGCCTAGCTAGAGCTTTGCTGTGTAGCAGCAGCACATTCAAAACACATAGTCATGCTGTAGCATACGCTGCAGCAACCTGTCTGATGTTGGTATAAAGTCACAGGGTTTTCTGGAGTGACTCTTGTTTTCTCTCAGTATAAAGAAATTGCTGTGCTTAGTGATGTAGTGTTTTTCCCTAATCAGCTCTAGCTAAAACATCCTTGCTGCAACTCTGTTAACCATAAAGCCATTTCCTCTCTCATTGCAGTTTATTTCCAGTGGAGAAGATATAAAAATTCTCTCATACCAGATGTTTTCTTTTTTTTTTTTTTTTTAAATGCTGTATAAAAATTTTTCATTACATTAACTGGATTTACCATATTTACCTGCCTTCAAGTGAATCCTTCTATTTTATCACTCTGAAGTGATGATATGTCAGACACGTCACAAGTAAGGGATGAGCCTTAGTTCTTATTTGGGTTACCAAAGGAGAAGTTTGTTATCCTAGGAAAGTTACTCAAAGGTCAAGGTGTCAGCTTCTTCCATTAGTTGCCATACAGGAGTCTGGAGATGTTCTCCATATAGGTTGTAAGAGCAACTCTTTAGGATTTAGGGGGACAAAATTATATTAGTGTATGATGTAACTAAGGACTATATCAAATCAATTCATCAACCAACAGACGTTGTTACTGGACTTACATATTCAAAACCCACTTTCTTTGTTCTCCATTCTAGCCTGAGAACCTGCTTTACTACAGCCAGGATGAAGAGTCAAAAATCATGATCAGTGACTTTGGATTGTCAAAGATGGAGGGTAAAGGGGATGTGATGTCCACAGCCTGTGGAACTCCTGGCTATGTTGGTAAGAGGTCTTACAGTGTCCATCCACTCTTCCCAGCTGCAATACAGACACATAGTGAAAAGGGAGTAATGTTTGTTTTCCAGTGCCACTGGAGATTTTACAGATGTTCATTAGAAATACAGATTTCAGAACTTGCTGATGTTCTGCCTTGTGTGCTCTTCTCCTTTGGGTCCCCATCCTGCAATCCAGCACAGGGTTTGTGGGATTTACTTTCATGATTTTAATCCTTTGCAGAATGAGTCTTCTTAAAGACACTGCCTGTAGGTAAGTTAGGAGCACATGACGAATATCCTCAAATTCTGCAAGCACCTATAAAACCAAGAAGCTTTACCTAATTTAACGTATTATTTTAATCATAAAGGATAACATCTGCCAGATTCCCCTGACAGAAGACAGTAAAATGAAAGAGCTACATTTATTCAGACATATTCAGTCATCCTCTGTTACAACCGTGTTAAGTTAGTGACTCCTAAATGTCATTATGCAAAAGCTCTTTAGATCCTCGGGCTTTCCTGGACAGTATCAAATTGTTTCCTATCATTTCTTCTCTGCTCTTCTGTCCATTCAGTAGTGATTGTATCAGGCTACTGATCAGCAGTGTCTTTACGAGCATCCTTTTAAAAAAGTTAAAGTAACTGAATGTGAGAATTATATGGCAGGTGATGCCAGGGTCTGTTTGAGCAAATAAAAGTCTCACTTTGTGCACAAGGCATCCAGCCTGGGCCTCCTACAATACCAAGCTAGTCAGCTGAGATGGCAAAATTAATCTCTGGGGTATCCATGAAACCCATAAAACTAAAATGACAGTCTCTTCCCCAGCTATAGATTTGTCTCAGATCTTTCCAACAGAGAAGACTTGATGTTTTTCAGCAGTCAGAGGCTCCTTTTGCTTTGCAGCTGCCACCTCACCTGTTTTCATAGCTCTGATGATACCATGGTACAAGAACTCAGACAAATTATGTGGTGATAACACAGTGATCCAAGTTTGTCCCAGCAATACCTTTTTCTGGACATTATCTTCACGCTGCACAGGCACACTCTATCCTGATAATGTCAGGAAAAGGAGCAGATTTCTCTGGTTTCCCATTGTGAAGCCATCAACCCATCGTTTTTTGGGGTTTTTTTAATTTTAAGAGATATGAGTCAGGATGCACTGTATACAGCCTGAATAGCTGTCTTGTGTAATCACACCAGACTGTAAATCTTCCAAATCACTAGCAGGAATTGAGCTGAGACAGCAATTTTCATAAATATTTTTGCTGTCAGCTCTTCTGTCCTTAATTAACATGTTTTATTTTGTTCTGAAATGGGCAGTGACTAGAATATGTCTGCGAGACACAGGGAGGCTCAGATGATATTTTCTGAAGCCTAATGAAAATGAGGGAACATGACTCTGCTTGGGCACTGAGTGATCTCATATGGCCTCTCAGCACATCCATTTACATAAGAAAACTTGCTATTTTGAAAGAGAAGCTCTTGGAGCATGTGACATGAATTGTAGTGCTTTCAGAGATGTTTGAGAGCTCTCATTACTCATGGTCTGGGCACTGGTAGCTACACAAGTGCTTCCAGGCCCGTTGTTACCTTACTGAACACAGGATTTACTCATCACAGTTCAAGAGGTCATGGCCGCTTATTTCTGAAGTGCTGAAGTTTTTCTTTTTTTTTTTTTTTTTTTTTTTTTTTTTTTTTGCGCAGGAGACAGCTCCTCTTCAGTGATGCTTTTTTTTTAAAAAAAAAGTATAATTGGTTGCCCAGACAACATTTTCCAAGCACAGAAAATTTTTGCTGTCAGTCACTGTGGTGATGCCCACAAATGGGCTTCTGTGAGTGTTACACCTGATGACATGGCTTCTGCATACATGGTCTCCAATTTGCCCACATCTGAAAGCTTTCATCCCTTCCAGCGTCACTCCAATTTGCAGCACCTGCCTAATGCCCTCAAATAAATGTAAGAGGCCTTCCTCCTAATGGCACAACATCAATATTTGTGCTCATCTGGATTGGGACAGACACATGCCACAGGGTTGGCTCATGAAGTGTCCTCTGTGTCACCTCTTTTTGGTTTTTTTCTCCATCCATTTTACCTAGGGTTGAAGTAACACTCAGGGATCCATCACTTAAAACTAATTTCCTGGTGCTTTTCTTTAAAGATATGTAGAATGCTCCATTTTCTAAGATTTTATGAGGAATTAATTATTTTGGCCACTTTAACCGCTCTGCTTTTAAATTACTGGAAAGAAACTTAGGCACCTATCACAAGTCAAAGGCACCCAGGGCTCTGTTAAGAAGTCATTAGCATCTGCTACTATTTATACTTTATCTCCAGAAATGGATCCAGTCGGATCCTGCCACGCAAAGTGCTGGACAAGCTTCTGTCTTAGTAGTAGACCTGGTCTTAAGTCATGTCCGGTGCCCAAGTACTTGCAAGCATGCAATCCCCCCTGTCATTTTTATCTATTTTCCCTGATTAGGCTATCCTTTCAACTCTTTGTGCTTCAAATTTTCATACTTCATCTCCAAAAAACAGTGGTACCCAAGACACTAAATTCCTGTTTATGTGGTTCAGAAATTCACTGAATAAGGTAGGTTGTAATTATAGTTAAAATTCTTAATAAATAGTTTTCTTTCTGAAAATCAAAGTATTACTTATCAAATTAGAGTATATATAAAATGTGTATAACCAGTACTGCATTAGCACATTAGCTTGTAAGGCTCTGCCTTACTGTCAGCAGTTCAGAGGTATTTTTCCTTCAGGAGTTTTGTCAGAGATTTTGGTCCTATGGTGAAAAGATGACAGTTGGGATAATTTAACCCAGTTGGTTGAGCCACTTTTGTTAAGATGCAAACCTTAATGTTTATTGCCTGGAGAGTCTGATAATACAACCTCTTCTAATGAAAAGATCTTCCATTTTCTTATCTGCTTACCATTCTTATCTCTGTCTGCATTTTTTATGGAAGGAGTCTAAGTGATGAGCTGGGACTAGACACGCAACTTTTAGATAGCCCCTTAAACGGGTTTAAGAGACCTGTTAAGAGACGTTAAGTTTTGAGACTGCTTTTATGGCTCATTTCATTGCAAATTAGGTGTGTGGACAGGCTTGCATGGATCCCACCCCATCGTCTAAACTGGAGAAGTGGTGTTTTCAAAACCCTGAGTGATCTGTGTGATTATGGGCAAGATGTGTATAAGCTATTAGTGACTTATCATTTTAAACATCATAGATTTGGGCTGCTCAGCTTGAGGCCATTTATAAGAACTTGATTTTGATGAAGGAGGTGTGCAAAACTGCCTGAAAATGAGCCATCCTTGAAGTGTGTTAAGTTGAGCACTCACCAGGAGATGACTCCAGTCACTCAGCAAAAGCCCTCTAAAAAGATTTGGGCTGTTTGGGAATTGGGTCTCACTGACTGACTTTCCATGAGAGCTGGTCTCTCAGAAGCTTTGGTTACTTCTGCAGATGAGACTTAGACTTGCAAGACACTTAGAAGCATTAAAAAGTTTGGAAAAAATGTTAGAAAGCCTGTCTCGGTCACTCTGATCTCCTTTTGCAGAAATGCTGAATTATGAACTGTGTTGGTGGCTGGTTAATATCTTAATCCTTCTGAGATTTAAAATTCTTGCTCTGAGTCCCAACCCAACTTCAAATAAAATTTTCTTGTATTTCCCTGTCGTAGGAATTGGGCTGGGCCCCGGATGTGTGGTTGGTCCCTGTACACCCCACCTCACTCACTGTTTTGGTTTGCTGTAGTGCTTTTCTGAGAGGTCATTTCACAACTTCCAGCTCTGCCAGAAATCCAGTAGCAATTTCAGATCGTATCAAAGCCATGCATTTCTTGTAGCACTGTGCAACACCAAAGCATTTAAGTAAGCAATAGATTTCCATGTTGAATTTTGACTTACTCATTATCCTTTGAGTCAGAGGTCTGAAAATATTCAATAAGCCTTCGGAATATTCTTATTAGCAGAAAGCAGCTCCAGGAGTTGTTTAGGCAGTAACATGAGTAATAAAGTAAAAATAAAGCATGGGAACCACTCTCACCAGGGTTTGCTTGTGACATTGTGATTGCTTGGATCCATTGCCGTCTCCTGAATTGGGGTTTGTTTGTGTGTGGTTGTAGCTGCATTATGTTCCATGACAGCTATCTAAATCTGACTCAGCAACATGAAATAGGGACAACAGGAGCACGGGAAGCCAGCAACACTGCACTGAAACACTGCTGTCCTTCAGAAACACCCCCAAGCTTCAAAATCTTGGCCAAGTAGAACAAGATGAACACTGGAGGACTGTGTGAAAGAGGGAAAGAAGTTGCTTTCATCCCAGGAGTCAGTGGAAGAGTAACTCTGGTCTAGTGATGAAGCTGCTTCATATACCTCTTAGCTTGTTTGCACTGTAAGGAAGGCACTTCATATGGTGGCAGAGGAGCTCACACTGCTCTTGGACTGTCTTTGGCTTCAGGAGAGGGACTGGGTTGGCCCTTCATGCATCTAACCATCTTCTCAATAGTGCAGGGTTGTTCCTCTCTGTCCGCCTGCTTGAGGTGGTATCTTCAGGAGTCCTCAGCTATGGGACTGGCACCTTCTCCCTTTGGTACCCCTTACAAACTCTGACTGTTTCTCACCGTCCCTCTCACATTTCATGGCCATCTCGTACCTGTGCAGCCCATTCATGTTTCACCTTCTTTATTTGCAGGATGTGCCTATGTGATGGAATCTGGCACTAAAATAGTTACCAGCTGAACTACTAGTCCTGATTGCACCAGGCTGATTTGCTTGGCCAGCTGAACTATGTCCCTGCCCAATGTAAGCAGGTCCCTGGTTATTTTAACCTTGTTTAGATCTTTCCATTCCTCCCACATTTACGGCAGCCTGTTGATTTGTCACTCCTATGGGGATCTTCAAAACCATCACCCTTTGTTCAAATGCCTCTTTCCTTCTGGCATGCAGCTTGTGGGAAGCCATATAAACCACAGAAAATAACATTAGACTGAGTTCTTGTGAGACAGCAGAATCTGCTGGGAGTAGCACCATCATGGGAGTGAAGGAGAATCACTTTTAAGTATGAGACTGGTATGAAGAACAAGCACCCTCATGACTTGTACAGTTTGTTCAACAGGCTTAAAGTATCAGAGCAATCCCCGTCACTTGAGCTCTTTGCAAGAACATGGATTGCTGGTTTTGGCATCCAGCAGCTGCATTTTTAGGGAGCTTATTAGCATATATGTGCTCACTGGGGGTAATGGCACCGTGCTCTGAAAGGTTTCCAGACATTCCTGTTCTGTACCTTTTCTTAAAACCTCCATTTGAAACAAGCCTTTTAATTTTTTCTCTTATTAAAAGCAAAACGTAACTAAACAAAAAAAAAAAAACAAAAAAACCAAAAACAAACAAAAAAAAAACCCTAATGGTAAAACTGGCCTGGGAAGCACATCTTCATGTACCTACAGGTGGAATGAGGCCCTGGGATCATTACCCAACATTTTACCTGCCACATGTTGCCAGTAGCAATGTTGATTTGGCCCGAAGTACAGTTCCTGGATGTGGAGGAAGGGTCCAGGTTTGCTTCATTGAATTCTCTGTCTCTGGGTGGCCATTGTGTAGCATTTGAGCCCACAGTGATTCCCTGGGGAGGTGCGATACTGGAAGCCTTTGCTCAACTGGCATTTCCCCAGTGCCAGAAGTGGGAGCTTTGCTGTTTTGTCTCCTCAGCCGTCTGTGTTGATCCTTTAATGCTGTCAACTCTTGGATTTTTTTTTCATTGCATCTCCTGCCTTTGCCTGTTGGCACTGATCTACTGTCATTTCTGAGAGCTCCTCTGACTTGTTTTTCAGCTCATTAAATATTTCTGTCTTTTCCATATATCAGAGACAGATGATGCTTAGCTGTGTTCTCCTGTTCCTGTTGCATGTCTGCTCCTTGGAACAAAAATCAAAAGCAGCCGTTTGGCCTTAAAATAATTGCTTAAACCTCCTTCCTTTCTTTAAAGTTTACCAAAGGGGTAAATAGCCTCATATTTCCTTTGGGCATCATCCTGTGGTGATCTTACCTGCTTCACAGCCCCCATCCACAGCAGCAACTGTCTGTTATCAGTGCTCTTCACTCATTTAAACCAGAAGGAAAAGCCCCAGCACAGATTTGATGTTTTAAGAGGGAGAATCTTTACATAGTCCACATCCCCTTGTCTCAGATTTGTTTTCTGTTTTGTTGATGTATCATATCTGTATAACGTCAGGAGCTCACCAGGATCCATGGTGCTCAGGATCCATTTGCATAATATTTTCTTTTGGGGGGTATAAAATGTATAATGTTTACCACTCTTGAAAATGATGGAAACATAAGCAGAAAGTTAAAGGTAGAGGAAATATGTGAATAAAATGATGGGAATTTGGAAGGACTGGGGAGTTGGAAGACGTCTAATCACCAGGGGTAAATGAACTCCCTTCTGCATATTTTGTCACAAAATTTAGTCACAAGGGATGGAACAAAAAAGGAAATTGAGTCTCACAAACTCTATCCAATGCACATTTTGAAAAAGATTCTTTTTAGAGGAGAACTTGGAGGCAAATTTTGATGAATTAGAAAAGAAAGAGTCAGATTAAGGGACACAAGAATTGTCTGGGAAGGTTGTTTTGAGCAAATGGAGGAACGAAGAGAAATGTACATTTGCCAGACTGTGCCAGCTTGCCAGGTTATCTGGGAGGTAGTGGCAGGCCAAATAGGATGACTCTCCAGTGCTTTATGCTTTCATCCCAAGTTTGTCTTCAAATTCTCCCCAGCTGGACTGACTAGCACTGAGCTGACACACAGACCCTGACCTAGCCACTGGGAAAGGAGTTACCTTTTGGGACTAACTGTAGTTGCCTTTTATATTTCCAAAGCTCTGTCCCCTATTGTAGTAAGAGCATTTTAAGCTTTATCTTGATAGACTACAGCAGCATGCTTATGTCCTGGATGGAGTCAGGGTATTCTCGGAATCAGGATGCAGGTTTCTGCCAAGCACCCAGGGCCAGGATAGGAGCCATTCATGCTAGGTACAGTGGAAAGAAACTCCTTTAGTATATAGTGGATTGATGTTGGAGTATTCACACATTACAACAGTGTATTGACAATATATGAACAGAATCACCACTTTAATTTCTTATACATGCAGTGTCCTAGTTCGCTGAATGACTGGAAGACTGGAGTAACTTCTACCCCGTGCTGCAGATTGGGGCATATCCCAATCTTCAAGAGTCTTCATAATCTGGCTGTCAGATGTATTTTTTACCCATATTCCCCTGGATTTTCTTCCTTTTTACAAGGGTGATTTGACCCTTTCCATCATTCTGCTGCTTGTGGAAATGCAAGCTGGGTGCCCTCATCTGCCTCATGCACTGTCTTCCCTTCAATCCCTTCTATAAGCTCTCATGCCCAAGCACCACAAATTCTTTTTTGTTTCTCATTATTGCTCATTTCCTTCCTTGCTGGCAGCTTTGACCTTAGTTTGTTGACTTGTCTTGCTGAAGAAGATAACTCTTTGAAGAGTCTTTACCAGTACACCAAAGCATATGTAGCAACTAAATGTGAGGCTCAAGTTTTAACACATTTATGTGCTTCACGGTATTTTTGACTGTTCTTAAAGTAACTAACTGCTTTGATGTTGGTAAGACTCCTAGCAGAGGAAGGCATAACCCCAAAGAAATCTTTTTGCTGGAACTTGCCCCTTCATGATTTTTTTTTTTTGCAGCATTTGAACTCCAAAGTACTCAAAGGAAATACTGTGCTTTTTAAAACCCAGTGTGGCAAGTCTGCTTTAGGAATGCCACGGTCAGTGATTTCTTGTATTATTGTGGACATTTTGTTTTGAAAAAAGCAAAATCTTCTTTACATGAAAAAGATTAGAGTCACAGGGTTTTAAAATTTAGGTTTAAGCATTGGCACTGAAAGGTCCCAACAGGGAAAACATAATACTTCAGATTCCCAAACAAAAAAAATGCACCTTTTTAACTCTCTCTTAAGACAGGAAAGCAGACCCACAGAGTTTCAGTAAATGCCAGGATCTCACTTCTAGCAAAATTCAGACTATGGTGGCTGAAGGCAATAGATACAGAAGGCTCAGTTCCTTTGTGCATATGTCCAATTCCTGCTACTTTTTGTTTCTCTCTCTGCAATGTCTGTGTTCCCAGGGGCGGAGGGACAGATGATTCCCTCCGACTGACATCCAGCAGGCAGCTGTTGGGAGGTGTGGTGACAGCTCTCTTTCCTCTCCTGCGGATGTAATTTACTGCCTCCCTGACATCTTGCACTTTCTGAGTTGCCTCTTGAAATCCCCAGTTTGGAAGCGCAATGGAGCTGCAAGGCTGTCAGGGTGAATGTGCATCTCAGCACTGGTGCAAAGCTTGACCTCATTTTCCTCCAAGTCTCCTAAAGTTCCTCTGACAGGGAGGTGATGGCCCTCTGCCTCTCATGCATTTTTCTGTGCTTGGTTTTGTTTTCTGTCCCTGGAGTCAGAAAATGGGGAATTTGCTTGACTTTAAGAATTGTCCTTCTTTGTGAGAATATGAGCTTCAAAAACATCAGGATATTTACAAGTGCAAGGGCTGTATGTGGAGGGCAACACAAGGTCTCAGGGAGCTTCAAGTTTCAGGGTCCTATCTCTTGACCACATTCAAATGTTTGATCTTCTAACATGTCCTTGTCTGGCTTTTTATTTTCAGCTCCTGAAGTGCTGGCCCAGAAACCTTACAGCAAAGCCGTGGACTGCTGGTCCATCGGGGTCATCGCATACATCCTGTGAGTATCTGTTGGGTTTTCAATCACAGGTAGTTTTGGGACCTGCAACGTGGCCTCCCACCATATAGTTTGCCACTTAGTCTGGGCCAAAAATGTTAATCTCTGACATCCAGGATTAACATGAATTCTGGACCCCTCCCAGTTATATAGAGGCTGAAATTTGGGCCAAAGTGGTAAGAAATGAAACCAGGACCCTTCAAAAGCCAAAATCCTTGCTCCCACATGAACTATACTGTGTGCAGTAGTATGGACTTATCCAGGTTGAGACATTGGTTAAGTTATTACATCCCCTGCTCAGATTAGCTTTGATAAAACCCAAATTTGGCCATACCCACAGAGCACAGCACCACGTCCACAGGTATATCCTGAAGGGCAACCTCTCTCAAGGCATCACCGTAATGGCTTTTTGTTCCCTGGGAAGGGTGCAGAGGGACATAAGGGGGGAAGAGCTTTTCATGTATTGCAGTGAATTATTCTCATCAAAACATAATACAAAGTACTGAGACTTTTACTGAAAATGAGGGATCATTTTCCTTAACACATCTAACCATCAGGTCCCATAGGTGAGCGTGATTTGTGCCCTGTCAGTTCCCTGACTCTTCTATCAAGCCATTAAACCTCTGCATTCTTGGCTGAGATTTGTTTCTCTAATGGGGCTAATTTCTGCTCAGAAGAGTAGGGATTAGTTGCTTGAGAAAGCTGCAGGACCAGGACTTTTGTGCATTCTCCCACTTGGTGGATAGGTTTCAGAACTCATATATTTATGGAGATTTAGTTCCTGTCCTCATTCAGTACTTGACACCCTTCTTCACAAAGGCTTAATAGGCTAATTTAGATTGGAGAGAACCTCGGGAAGTCCTGTCCTTGGGGTCACACTAGGTTGCCTAGGGCTTTATCCAGGTGGGTCCTGAAATCTTCTGAAGACAGAGACTGCATAAGTCTGTGAGCAACCTGTCCCACTGCTTGACTGTCCTCAAGAGGAAAAGGTTTTTCCTTATATCCAGACTTGCCTTCATGAAAGGGGCAGCCAGTGCTCTAGATGTGGGCGCATCTTCAGTGTTTGAGCTGTGGAAGGAGGTAAGCCACCTCCTGCACCAGCAACAACACTTGGAAGGATTGGAGAGGTGTCCTGGCCACTGTGGTCACAGGGATATCCTGGTGCCAGGGGTCATTAAGTGCTGTCCAGAGAAGGATGTCCATAACATTTCTGGGCACCATCATCTGAATCCAGCTCTGTATGCATGAGTATATAAAATCACTGCTGATGTTTGGATTGAGAAGAAAATGCAGAACTTGTTCTCTATGAACCTGTAGGAAGACTCCCTCTAGTTTAGGTGCCTGTCCTGATAGGGTAGTCTGTGCTCAGGGCTCAGGCCTGTGAGTCCATGGTGTCATTCAAATAACAGTTGCACAGGTTGCATCTGCACAGCCTAGCAGACTTTGAAGCGGGAGCTATTCATGTGGGTCTTCGAGAGGTCAGGCTTTTGCCATGGGCTACTCAGGGCGACGATGCAGAGCACCCCAGGCATGTTCCTTTTGTGCAAGAGAGCACAGAGCTGCTGTGTAGCTGTTGACTGCTGCAGAAACAAATGTCTTTTCATGCTGACATTAGCAGTGCTTTCCCCTTTTTTTATTTTTTCCCTTTTACACAACTGTCACAGTTATACAAGACTGAAGGAAAAAGCAGCACCAATGAGGGACAGCATTAAAGCATTCCTACTTTGTTCCCTTTCTCCTTATGCAAACATTTCATGGCTTGTCAGCATGAATAACTTTTTGATGGTGTAGTAGAACTATTTTGCCAAGACAGACCTCATTGCTGTACTATTTACTCTGTGCAATATTCATTTTTTACATTTTCATTTATTCCTGAGCATAAGTTAGATGCTACCCAGAATAGCTTTTTTATATTAAGATAGTATATGAAGGTTTTATTTATTTGTGAGTATGTTTATTTATTTAAAACAAAGGCCTGACTAAAAGCATTATCTTTATGACTGGCTTTCCAATCTACATGAATATTTGAAAACTTGTTGAGTACAAAACTTTTCAGGGGGATAGATTTATCTTGAAGCAACCTCCAATAGCAGGATGCAAAAAGCTTTTGCATAACAAAGCAAAAATCAACAGAGCAGATTCTGACTTTGTGGCAAAGCCCAGCAGGACATGCTGCAGCAGTGAGCAAGACAGCAGACATGTCAAAATACCTCAGAGGCTGCTTCAGACATCATTCCCTAGGGCTCTTTTAAATGAGGATGGTGTCTGCTGAGCCAAACTTACCATTTTCCACAAGCAAATCTGAGCATGGAAGATGTGGGGTTCAGTTTTTTGAGATTTTTCGTCCTTGCCAGCCATGGCAGGACAGAGTCTTTTCTGTTGCTTTTGTAGTACTTTGCCGAGCACTAGCTTCAGAGAGTGGGAAGAAGGAGGATACAGGTGGAAGACAGCAGTACGCTGCCTCTGCTCCAGGCTTGACTGCTGCCTAGGTTCAGTTTATTGTCAAATATTCACCATGAAAATATGTGTCCATCTGGCAGCCCACAGGAAGGCTGTGAAGCTGTTGCATCCTGTTGCCTGGAGATCAACTTGTCTCTGCTTTCCTCCAAGTTTTCACTCCTCTTCAACCATGGCTCATGCACCAAAGGTCTTCTTTTGCTGGCAGACCTGTTGATATTTCACTTGTTGCTCTTATGTGTCTTGCTGAGGAATACAGGTGAGACAGTGCTAAGTACTATGTCCTCCATAGGTAGAAGGTTTCAATTTCATCCATAATCCTTCCCCCTTCCTAAGCAAGGCTGCTCTTTCTGAAAGGTTCAGCTCAGTTGTTTCCTGCTCTGTTTTCCAAATCAGCCTGTGCTGGGCTTTTCAAGCAAGGCGTACACACTCCTCAAATCTAAATTCCCCATTTGCTCTATGGGGAATTCCCAACCCTGAAGGCTTAAATCAGTTTAGTAAGAACAAGTCCCTATGAATTCCTCTCTGCAGGACAAGGAAATGTTTTCAGAGCTTCTGTGCTTCATGTAATAAGAACATGATTTTTATTAAGTGCAACCAATATGAATGGCAATAATGCGTTGCCATAGGAGCGCGGTGATTTGTTTCCCAGACTATTAGTGCTTTTGTAGGATTGAGTCTGAGATCAAACCATCTCCTTGAACATTTCTGCATGTGAGCTACATCCTTCAGCTCCTGTAACAGTCAGCAGCATTCCAGGGCTCTTCAGTTACCCTCATAGAGGTGCTTAATGCTGTTTCAGTCATGTCCAGTGTCCTACGTGCTCTCAAGCTGCGGTTGCAGGACAGTCCAGCCTCCCATAGCCCCATGGCATACCTGCCAGCTGGGGACAGGGGTCCTCTGTGCTTGACAGCGTCTCCACTGGCACTGGACTCTACAAGTGGGCAACTCAACCCAGCCTGGGTCAATGCAAGCAGTCATTTCATCACAATGTGTCATTCAGCTGCCTAAACTTAACGTATTTAGTGCCACAGTGGGGTGTCCGGGACAGCCACATGGATTTGGCAAGTGTAGCATACTGCAGAGACGCTCCTTCTGCAGTGGCAGATGGAGGCCAAGCAGGAGACCATGGACCGTGTCAAATAGCACCAGATGCCCATGCTGAGGCTGCTGGTTGACACCCTGCTCCATACTCAGACTCCTGCCTTCACAGTATGCTTTCATCTGCTTTATGGTGCATTCGCATCACTCTCCAGTCTCTGTTGACGCCATCTCTACTGACTTCAACAGGAGCTTAGAAACCCAGCCCACATCTCACGTGTCCTAATCTTGAACTGGACCTCATCCTTGCTTCCAGGAATAGTCAGAAACTGCAGATGTGGCCTCATAAGGAGGTGGATGTCAAGGGTACAGTAAAGACAGAGAGGAAGAGAGGTCCTTCGCTAAGCTGGAAGGGAGTAACCCTGCTGGGTTCTCTGATACCACTGGTGATGGGCCCAGGTTTAACATCTAGGTTTGCTGTCTCAGCAGTGCCACACCACTGGAGGCAGCAGCACCAGCATGCTCACAGTGTGGCATGGCGCTGAGATGCCACAAGCACCAGCAGCATAGCCACCCTGGTGCAGTGCTGATAGTTAATCCTGCCCTGAGCAGGAGTTTCTGATTCCAGTATATCACCACATCCATCCTGATATACCATTTGGAGCTCCACAGCCAGCACAGTTGGAGCTACTACATGCCCAAACCAGTCGGAAACATTTATATCCATAGGGCAATCCAAGCACATCGTCCTGCATTACCTCCCCACCTCTCGCACGGATCCTCACAGACACTATGAACAGACTGTTGTCATTTCAGAAGGTAAAAACTCAGGTCAGTCCAACACAGAAGCCAGCCATAAATTAAAGATGCTTTGAGCTATTATTACTGCAAATGGTTTGAGTGCCTCCAGACACAAGCTCAGTCCACAGGAGAGGCTTCAGTTTATGGCACTGGAAGAACAAACTGTTTCTGTGGCACTGATGCTCTAGACAAATATTTGTTTCTGTGATATGCAAGGTGAAGGATGTCTTAGGAAAGAATACCTTTGCTTCAGTGCCAGTCTCTAATGCTTCTTGTTAATGACAGCCAGATTGCAGAGGCTGCACCATGGAGTTTTTATCAAAACCTGTTTTGCATGAGAAGTCATTATTCACATGAACTAATTTTAGCAGCCTGAAATTTCCTGTTATTCCAGTTGCAATATTTCTCAATTTGAAACCGCCTCACTGTTGAGCTTGGCTTTCTACTTATCACAAGGTAGTTTTGATAATGTGTTCAGCTTAAATATAGAAAACATAAGAAGAACGAGAGGCTTCACTCGATTCCCAGCAGCTGGATTTTGGGTATGTCTAGTTACAGAAGCTTGCAAAGCTAAAATACTGATCACTTGTATACCTGATATAGAGAAGATTGAGTTAATTTATGCAAAAAAAAGTAGAAAATCGTGTTCCAAAGCTGGAAAAGAACCTGGGGCCACAGAATGCTCTGCCTCAGCCCCTGGTTATTCATAGTCAACACGTTCTATCTCTTCTGCACTAGACTGAACACATTTTGCCCTGAATTTTCTTCTGATTCTGTTCACCAGTAAGGCAAGAGTATTACTGGGGGTTTTATTGTTATTTATAAACAGGGAGTATCTGGAGGTAAATCTTGGATTATACTTTCACACTTCGCTGATAAGTTGCTTTTGATTTTCAAGCAGATGTGCATGAATCATCAATTATGTTTGTGTGGAAGGATTAACCAGAGACAGTACAAAGTATATATCATGCCAGAATAAGTTTCCCACATTGGGAAAAGCTGGTCATTTAGCTCACCTGCTCAGCATCACACGCAAGTCTAAGCAAGAAAGTGAGGTATAATCTACTTCTTCAGTACTGGAAGGAGAATTATGGTGGTAAAATGTACGTGGCCGTGTTGGATTGCTCAGGATACCTTGGTTAAACACTGGGAAGACAACCCCAAATGATGGCTCCTCATTGCTTGCTTCTCAATATTTTTATTTCCCATGCTAATATGTCCTTGTCCACAGTTTTGGGAGGGCACCAGTGTCAGCCAGTATGAGGGTCTGTTCCCAAAAAAAAGAAATACATGTGTTTATCCCTATAAATAGCACTTGGATTACTTCCCACATTATACATCTCAGGTCTCTGAGCACTTACGGAGTTCTTTGCTCTAATCTCACTATAAAATTGTAAAACTAAGCCCAGTGACTCTTGTGTTACAGGCTGTACACTGACCATGCAAATGGGTTATTTAACCTTTAGTATGATTCCAAATATGTAATGAGAGCTTACAGGGGTTTGCTTTCTCTGCCTGGTGAGAAGGAGATGTTCCTGGTATTCCTCTTGTCCTCTCCTAATGGCTTCTAGAAATGACTTCTGGCAATATCTTTCTTTTGTACATCCACCTGTGTTTTTCTTACCTGCATCCCATTCTTTTTAAGGCAAGACCAGGAATAGGAGGTTAAGGGAGAAACTGTTGCTGATGTGTTTTGCTAAAGAATTCTGAAGAGCTTTTATTTGGTGAAATTGCGAGAAAATGATGACAACTAATAGGTGCCCGAATCTCCCTCAGGACAATGCAGGATTTTTTCACATTGAAAACAGAGGGGTTATTTTTATATTTCTGCATATCTAAAGAAAAGCAGCAGAACCTCTGATAGTGAGGTCATTTTTTTCACACAGAAATTTCCCAGCAGATGGAAATTAAGTCGGTGGGATTTTGATTTTGTACGAATTAAATAAAAACTTATTATGGACTTTGGAAGGTGGCCCAGTTGCTGGAAGCCCAACAATATTTCCTCCAGCCATAAATTGCATGATAGACTAATTTACTGGGGCTTTCCCATCCCTTACTGCCAAGCAAATAATGTTAAAACTTTAAAGTAACATTAAAACTTCTGTGTCTTCCTAAACTGATTTTAAGGGAAAGCACAACCAGACCACCTATATTTTGTCTCCCAACCCCTCCCTGTGCCAGGATGCCCTGGTCTTCCCCTCCCAGGTGCCACCTCCTCTGCCCTAAGGAGCTTGCTCCCTTCTCACGTGCTTTGTGGTGTAGTTCCTCAGTGATTTGCCTCCTGGAGGAACATCCTTGGGTCCTCCTGTGCAAGAGGTTCATCCCCATCCCTGACCAAGCCAGGACCAGCCCTTGTCCTGAACTCAGCACTCTCCCAGGCAGGGGGCTAGTTTGGAGGGGTGTCCCCACCTATGACATGTAAGAGTGACTAGCACTTCTCAAGCTCGCACTAGCAAGGGGAAAGCTGGCCAAAAGAGGCTTTTCTGCCCTGTGCCCAGCTCCCAGCAGTCCTGGTATCCTCCTGCATCAGCCTTCCCAGCACCCACCCCTATGATGTGCTGCAGTGACCTCCCAGACACAGAGGTAGATACCCCAGACGTGTAGATACTCAAGCCATGCAGAGGAGCAGGGGAAGAGCTGGATGTGTATAGGAAAGGGATGGAAAGGCTCTGGAGAGGCTGGGGCCCTTGCTGGTGTTTGTTTCTCTCTGCTCCCCTCCTTGCAGGGTTGTCGCCCTCCAGCTCTTTGCTGCTCAGCAGTTTGCTCCTACCTTTTGCTGCCACAAGCATATATAAATCACAGCAGCCCTAACTTGTGCTCTTGTACCTTTGCCAAGGTAATTAGTACAGTGCACATTTTAAGTGAGTTATTTCTCTCTCCAGAGCAGCCTGCCAGCGCCTCGGCATGCACAGTGCTGTCTGCTCACCCTAAAATGTTTTATCAGAGCAGTTTGGTTTTGTTTAAGGAAAGTGCTGAGGAAAGCAAGAAATTAATGAAGGGCTGTCAGGCTTCTTATACAGAGCCCAATGTGTCCCCAGGGAAGAAGAGGGACAGCGCGATGGCTCCAAGTGCCTTTGGAGGAGCCGTTTTCCTCCAGCCTGGACATCTCTACACCAGTGGCCATTCTAACAGTTGCAGTGCTGGTGCTGTCAACTCCAGCCTTTCAAAACCCCTCACTAAAGTACCTAAAATCTTGAGGACTGTGAAAAAACGAGGAGGAAGGTGAAAATCGGTTTGTGTGCATCCCCCTACAAGACTGCGGGACATAAGCAGTGATATTTATTACATTAAAGCAAGTTAAATAAATGTTCTTCACAGAAACCTGTAGAGCTGGATCCTGGTTGTGGATCCAGTTTCTGCATTCAGTCACGAGATGCATCATCCAGGTGCATACTGGCTTTTGGGGGTTTGCTTAAATGCACCATTTTTAATGACCTTTCTCATACACCACTCGTGAGAGACGGCCACTGCTGGTTTTCATGTAGGAGGTGCTCCATCGAGTCCCATACACAAACACGTACCCACTAAGTAGGTATGCAGTCCTGTGCTGAACATAAATGCCTGGCATGAGGTTATTTTCTTACTTGCTTTTGATAATGGCAGTCATCCAGTGGGACACAAACAAGGACTGGCTCATCTGCTTTGCAAGATAAAGAGAGAGATTTCTGATTCAGCTGAACCATAGTGGGTTCATCTGAATGCTGCAAATTTCAGTAGTGTTCTTCCAGGTCAATATGGATCTGACGCAGATCAACATCTCAGTATTTAAATTATTTATCAAGCACACTGGCTCTTCAGAGCTAACAAAACATTGCTCCTTTCACCTCAAGTGTTGAGCTGGTTCAAATAACCTCCAGGGCAGCTGGTTGGCTTTGGGTTATAAATAACTTGAGTATTTCATTTCTTACAGTTCCCCCCCTCACTTGTTGTGATGTTGCTACAGGGTAGTGTTTCAGCTAGGTCTTCAGGCTCTTTATAATGGCTGCCTCTTGCCAATTAAATGCTTTATTGAGGTTGATTGATTCAGGGTTTAAGAAAACTTTAGGAAAAAGATCATTTCGATATCAGTGAAGTATGTGAAAGAATAATTTACACCGTAGATTAGAGATAAGAGAAAAAAGTGCATCATCTTTATGCAAGACAACAGAGGCAGAAAGGCCTGTAACTGTGAGCAGGATGGGTTTGCTAAAACTTTGGACCAACCTCACAGGAAAATCTGGCAGTTTGCAGCATTTGGTATTAAAACTTGAGGAAGGGATATCTTTGCTGTACAGAGAGGGACAGACTACTACATGCAGCAGCATCTGGACGTGAGGGATCTCTGTCACACGAGCTTTATCGCTGAATTTGTTTAGCGCAGTGCTGGCTGTGTTTTTCCCATGTCTGCAGGGCTGGAGGAGCCCTGCCTCGGTGGAGTGACTATCCCCACTGTCTGCAGACTGAGATCATCCACCCTGAGTGTTTTAGCTCATACTAGGCAAATAATGTTCAATGTCCTGCTTGTCCTGGGGCTAGGTTTTCTGAGAAGCCTGATTATCAATACTGAAAACCAGGACAGGACTGTTGTTAGCCTTGGGCAAGGTAGGCAATTTGATGTGGGCAGCAAAATCACTTGGAGAAGTGGGAAAGGGAGAGGCTCTCCGTGTGTCTCCACAACAGCGGCAGGTCCATGTGCAGCCTGTGCAGGCTCTGCAGCAGAGGTTGAGTACCTCCCCGATATCCTTCTGTTGTGCCTGGGGACTGAGCCCAGCACAGCCTGCAGATGCATTCTGCTCTCTGCCTGATAGCTCCGTGGGGCTCCGTGTCCTGCTTTGCACCAGCTCTTCCTCCCTGTTGTGGTGGAGAGGAGGCCCACGCAGGTGGCTGGTGGCTCCCCAGTTGTACAACAAACCTTACTATACAGCTACGGCCTCTTGTACAAAGTAGAGAGCACAGGCTGTGCTCAAAACCCATCCTGATGCCATGCCGGTGGATGGGTAGGTGTTGCTACTTCTTGTGTGTCCCAGTTCCAAAGGCTCTGCTGTGCCTGCATGTCTGCAGAGCCACTGCGCTGCCTCTCCACCATCTGGGAGAGAATAAAGCCAGTGTAACAACTGGCTTGTGTAAGGTGTTGGGTGGGAACAGTGCAGGAGGACAACCAGAGCAGTGAAGGCAGTATGGAGAAGACTCCTGAAAGGGGAATGGTTGTGCTGAGGAATGAGAAGGACTGGTGCTCGGTGGATGGAGGGTGTAACTCATGAAAGCTCCTCTCTACCCCATGTATAGGAGGGAATGGAAGGGCTTATGGTTATGTAATAAAGCTATTCCTCTGGATAAACACCCAAAAGCATGCAGAGGGAGGCCAGGATATCTACATGGGTCAGTGTAGGATCAACATAGCCAGGTTTCCATGCAGAATTCCTCTTTGTCTGGGACAGTGACAATCTGCAGAAGTGGGTTTACATGTCCCTGAACAAACTTCTCTCATGGTAGAGCCTACCTGCTTGAAAACCTACTGGGGCAAGACTTAAACATGAGTTTCTCCTGCTTCTCCCTCCCTCTTTCTCACCTTCTTGGCAGAGACAGGTTCAAGGGTCACATCTCTCTTTTCTCATTCTCCATTAGGCTCTGTGGGTATCCTCCTTTCTATGATGAAAATGACTCCAAACTCTTCGAGCAGATCCTTAAGGCGGAGTATGAGTTTGACTCTCCGTATTGGGATGACATCTCTGAGTCTGGTAAGAAGCTCATTTAATTGGAACAACGATGCATGCATTCATGCTTGTTGCACATATCCTCCTCTGGGAACCCTCCATCATGTGCAGACCTCCTTTTAACTGAAAACCATTTCTTTCAGCTCAGTTACAGGACTTTATTTCTGCAAGAGAGCAAATTAAGTACCATTGTCCAGCCACACACAAATCACTAAAGTGTAACTGGAACAGAAGGGGAAGATAGCAGAAGACCGTCCCAAGAAGACAAAGCATCATATACAAATAAAAGCAGATGCTTTATGTGTTATTAATAATAATGTGGCAAGCTAGTTTGGCTCTGTTACTGAACTGCACTGCAGGTCCAAGGCGAGTCTGCAGTGTGTACTGCAAAGAACCCAAGAAATTAATGGCTTCTGAATGAGGTGGGCAAGCAGATTCAGAAACTGGGAGTACTGTCCACATAGCTGGATCCAGATAGCTCACCTAGTTAGTTCCCCACCCAGCGCAGAAGACATTTAACCCATAGTGCCTGCCTGTCCCTGCTGTTGTCAGTCTGGCAGAGAGGCAGATGTATCAACCTGTACAACATGTCTAGGCAAATACATCTAAAGGCTTCTGGCTCCAGCATGGCTTATGGTCTGCCAGCATCAGTGTCTATAGGTGACAGCAGGGGCATGGTCAGCATTGCACCCCGCTTGTGCCACTGACGTGGTCTCTTAAGAGGTCACGCAAGCTCGGTGTCCTCGCTCTGTCCAACCTGGGGGAAAATCAGCCATTTCATGCAGGAGAAGAAATGAATGCAAGGAATATTTTCTCAATCAACAATATCCCTAGAAATGCAGTTTTCTGATTCATTAGTATTACTGATTAAGGCAGGGGAGATATAAAAATAAGCATCTTATTTTACAGATTATTATATATCCTATTATCTCTGCATAGAACAACATTTCATGCTGCTTACATCTGCGGTCCAGATATCATTGTGATGGATTGCTTGAAAATATATGTGATGCGAAGGTTTTTTTAAGTCCTTAAGGGTTTTTAGAGAAAATATGAAGGTCTGCTGGCAGACCCCTTTGCATTTTGGGGGAAAGTCCATCACCTAAATCAGCACAAACATTTTCCTTCCATATTTGGCTTTGCTGTGGCTCCTTCAGCTACTCTTTCCTGAAACTACTGGATGCACGCCATGCTCTGATCTCCCTTCCTTCCATTATATTGTTGATTAAAAACACACTACCTCATACTCAAGGGAGTCCATTTTCTTCTGTAACTTGATTTTAAATATGCAACATGTCCTCACGCTGCCCACGTGTGTGACTGCTTGGAGTGAGCAATGAGAAGTTCCTCTTGCTGTGGCATCTGACCTCCTCCTTGCCTTTCTCACTCACTCTGTTTACCAGCATCTTCAACAGATGTGGTCAGATTCAGACCACTAAGAAGGTCAGAGGAACTTGGCTAACCAGGGAGCCGGGAGCTGGCAGGTTTGTATTCTGCTGACTCCGAATTATCCATCCCACTCTTAAATATACTTGCAGGAGTAGATGCCTTCAGCTTTTATCTGCCATACTATATAGCTTGGATTTGGTCCTAAGTCACATTGGTTATAGCTGTACTAATAAATAACAAATGACCCAGGGCCATTTTCTGGTGCTGCGGCCAGATGGCACTTAGTAGCCTGATCGATGCTGTTGGCTCATCATTTGGCAGCAGAACTGAGCGTAAACCCTATTGCTTTAAATTATTATCTCCTTTTTTTTACAGCTAAAGACTTCATTCGGAATTTGATGGAAAAGGACCCTAATAAAAGATACACCTGTGAGCAAGCAGCACGACACCCTTGGTAGGTAACAATCACTGCTGTGTGAAACCCTTAGGACAGAGAACATTATTCTACATTCATGGGTGGAAGTGTTTTTTCTGCCACATGGTATACTAACCTCTACTAAATAACTCTGTGCTTCTATTCTTACAACCACCACCTTCGTCCTCCAGATTTTCCTGGAAAACCATGATGGACTTCAGTCTCATGCACCAACCTGTTGAGTATCTGTGCAAGGATTCAGTGAAATGATGAATTAGGAACGTTGACTGTAGTGCAGCAGTGGGATATGCCAAAATGATTGAACCCTGAAATCGTATTTTGGAGCAAAAGGTCAAATTCTGCAGGTATACAGAAAGCTGGGTATCAACCTGCCCATGAGAACCCTGCCAAAGTAATATCAAGAGTAATTAAGAGCATCCCATGAAACAGGAAGTCCTCATTTATGGTTTACAGATGATAGTATACCTCCTGCTTGCAATAGGCTGGTTTCACATGCTGTTTATCCTCTCTTGTTGAATGGAAAAGATAGGAAACCCTAGAGAGAGAGATAAGCTGAGTCTGAATTGGCTATAGCAATGTTATCTCTAGTCACTACAGAAAAGCACCTGGTCTGACTGTATTTGTAATTTAGACCTCTGTTAAGTGCTTTAAATTACATGATACCTTTGCGTGGATGACTTCACCAACGTTACCTAAGGATTATGTAGCTGAAACAAGAATGGCTCATGTACTCTTGACCAACTGAGTGACTGAGCACCACCCCACACTACTAGCTGCACCCACAAGTGGGATCTGGATGTAAGTCTTTTAGGCTAGGGATCATTATATATGAAGTGAGATGTTATTTTGGTTGTTATAGTAGCTGCAACAGAAAGGAGTCAATGACATGGCATTTTCGCCCCAGGTGTGCATTAGACTGTGTTTTTATGCTGTCATAATTACCACAAATACCATTTCCTTTTGCAGTTTCTGGAGGTCTGGCTGGAGAAGAGCATTAGGCTGTGCATTTACAGGGGAACAGATGGTTTTCTTTAGCGTCCATAGCTCCTCAGAAAAGCAACTGCACCAGTGTCATAACTAGCTCAACAGTGTGATGGACTGCAAAACCATCCTGGTGATACAGTTTGAGCCCAGGGATGAGCCTCAAGTAGTGTAGTTTAGTCTAAAATGTATGGTAAGAATGTATGGCATGGAGGTTGTCAGTGAGTTTTAAGGTAGCACTGCTTTCTGCTGGGATGTGGGGACAGTCATTCATAGGATGGGGTCTGCATCCCTCTGAAGACGGGGAGCTTTATCAGTGGGGATCTGGTCATCTCTGCTTCCTCAGCAGACATGGATTTTGGACACAGTCCACAACCTTTCCAGTCATGAGGGTACCAGACAGCTTGGTACTCAGCTTAAAATCATATTAAATTTCAGAGCAAAGTAAAACTTACTGGCTGTAGCTCTAGAACAAATACTTAAGTTTGGCTTCAAGGGGTTTATGCTTCTCTCTGACACTCACTGGTTTGCCTCATCTCATTGCTGCTTTCAGTCCTGGGACTAGACAGAAAGATTAGGCACTCATGAAAAAGTTTAGTAGGTTATGACTACATAAGTGGTAGAAATACAGTGAAATGGCACTGATTTCTTCATAGTGGGAATGATGTACCAATGTCTGACTGCAGATTTTTGCTGTGATTACAAACTAGGCTGAAGATAAAATTGAGGCTCATCCTTTACAATTAAAAAGTTTTAGGAAAGCTTGCGATGCAGAAGACCATGTAAGTCATTGAAAAAGCAAGGGTCTTGTTTTCATCCCCATGCCAATGACAATGAGAAACGCTGTACAGATGTTTTTTAGCTGCATCAGTGGCTGGCATCAATACAAAAGAGATGAGGAGAAGTCAAGACCTGGGCCTGCCCTTTTCCGATGTCCCATCAATAACTGCATTGTCTGTGTGACAAAAAGGAAATCTGGGAAATTAAATCCAGCTTTCATGAGATGAAAAAAAAGAAAACATTTCTAAATGATACTGACCTGAGCCTCAGGAAATTAAACAAGTTACAAAAGTCAATATTAGAAATACAGAATAAACAATGGGAATGCAACTCCCAGCAGAGAATGAGGTGACCATTTGTATAACTCAGAGGCAGATTTTCCAAAGCCGTACATCCAAAATACACAAAACATAAGCATCCAGCTCTTGGCCCTGATACATCTGTGTTGGTTGCTGGAGTGCAACAAAGAAACGTGGCACTTGTAACACACACAGCTTCTGGGCCCTCCTAAAGGAACAAATTCCTTTTTTTTTTTTTTTTTTTTTCTTTTGCGTGTCATGGCCAGGGGCCAATGGAAACTCACAGACTGCTCCATAATTTTTGATACTTTCTACGGAATCCAATCTTCCATTTAAAACCAGCCCCCAAAAAGGGTTTTCCCCTGTTTCTGTGGCAGGGGGGCTTCTTCTGGCAAGTTGACTTTGCAAGGCAGTGGTTCATTTGTAGCGCTACCTCCCAGCCATGTAAAGCACGGCTCAGGGTCAGCCTTTGAAATGTCAGACATACAAATGGCACTGCAGTAGGGAGGTTTAAAATATTCACCATGTTTCCACCCCACACCCCAAATCCACCTCCCTTTGACACAGAGACAGTATGTGCCAGTGGATTACAGAATGGCAGTTGTACAGTGAAAGCAAAGCATGGAGGTTTCCAAAGATACGCCTCTGTCCTCCCCAGTGTGCTCTTAAGCAAAACTCAATGTCTCATTCCCCCCTTGCTCTGAAAAGCTTCCTGTAACATAAATGTTGCAGTTACGGACCTCTCTGGAGAGTGGTGCAGTGATGTTTGGAGAGTTTGGATGCTGAAGTGATAAATGCTTTGTTGGTAATCAAGGCTGCTCACCCGGATATTATCTGTTATTTCAGAGTGAACGATGGGATGTCCTTTTGCCAAACCATTGATCAAGAAACATTTTAAAAGGTTGCTTATGCTAGGAAATAATGAGGGTTTTACTGCTTGTTTTCTCATTCTGGCCATTATATCTGTTGCAGAGGCATCCTCCCCTTCCATTTGAAGGAAGGAAAGGCCTTGTTGGTGGAGGAGGAGGAGAGCTCTGTGCTTCCTCTCAATAGTCAGCTGCGTCATTCTCTCAGCCTGGGCATATTTAAGTTTCCAACAAGTCCAGGCTTGAGTTCCCCTCTCTCATGACTTCATTCAGTGCTGCAGCAGTCCGAGATAAGGGTGCACATGTTCAGTCAACAGAGAGAGGGTACCAAGCCTTTTGTAATGGGAGCATCCATACTACCTTCTCACATGAGCATGTATTTTTCACCATACATCTCCATTAGCAACATCACCTTCCATAGTGTTTACATAGCATTATCTTCTCTGTGTGTGATCAAAAGTAATGAGGTACATAAAACTATTGGCTTAGTGCGAAGAGATGGTCAGAGCAGATTTCAAGTGGTCCCATAAATTATATGCTCTTACATAGTGCTTTCACTTCAAGTAGCCCTTAATAGCATTTCATTTTTTTTGCCTGCACCAACTGGTTCTGTAGAGGAATGAACTGGGGAAACATCTTTGAACCTTAAGAGTTTGCATGGAGTGAAATCCTAATTCCACTGAGGTTAATGGGAATTAATTCTGCCACTAACTCCAGTGAGGGTTTGTCTTCTTGTCTCACCAGTGGAACACAGAACATCTACCCAAATCACTGGTGCTGTGCAAATGGTAGATAATTGATACATACAATGAAGTGGTTCCATGTAGTGACATTTTCCAGCTTTCCCTTTTTCTTCCTCCTGTGAAATCTGACCCTGCAACATCAGATCACTGGGATCAGCCACAAGTTAGGGAGAAATCTATCAATTCATGAGTATTTCACACAAACTTTATAATCTGATTGTGATAAAAATAGTTAACTGTGCATGAGATAGCAACCTGGCTATGAGATTTTATTGTTTCAATATGTAAAATTTGTGAAGAACAAACTGATTCCAAAATATACCTCGTTTTTTTTAATCCATACTTTTATTAAAAACTTCCAAACAAGGCTTGCAAGAACTGATTCTTGCAAGTTATTACATTTGTGCCTTTAAGGTTAATAATTTCTTTGAATTTCGGGAAACTGCTCTAGAATAGCCAGCTATTCACATGACTAAATGTTTGTACAGGATCAGACCCTAAAAAAAGTAAATACTTCTTCCGAATGGCCCACTTTTCTGTGCTGTATCTGTTCTCCACATGCCTGCATTTACGTGATGTTTTTCTATTTATAATCAAATGGCCTTGGCAGGGGGACGGTATGTTAAACTCGGAGTTGGCAGAAAAGGAGGCTAATAATTGCAGTGAAGTGTGGTAGCTGAAACAGTACAATATGTAAGACTTGGTATAATGATTACACCCCAGCCTGTACAATCTGTCCACTTATACAAATTTCTCCAGTTTAATATACAGGTGACTTATGCTTTCCATTGGAAAAGTTATTTATTTTATAGCTTATCTTTCACTGAGCTTTGCACTGTTTATGGTGTGTTGCAAAGGTGCAATGTTCTGTTTAGTTGTTCCACTGTGACTTTGAGAAGGATGTGGAAAATGAAGGTAACAAAAGAATGGGGTAATTTTGCTGCAGCTTGATACATTTTAATGTTTCCCTAACTTACATTAATGACAGCAATTAAGTTTATTAAATATATTGCCATGTCAGAGCCCACATCCTGTTTAGGGCAGTTGCTTAGGCTGCAGTGATTAAGGGCGAGCAGCAGAAACCTGAGGACCTGTTTTTTCCAGCTATAGGACCACACTGCGTTCCCCATCAGGTGTGTCCTGCAGCCCCGAATTCACCCTCCTGGTTTGGGTCAGAGGGAAAGAAAACAGTCCTCAGAGGGCAAGGAGGAGGTCCAACAGTTAGGAAGCTAGTATAGGAATTGGAAGGCATGCTCTGAATTTATTTGCTCTGTCAAGCATTACCCAAGTGACCTTAAATGGATTTAGAGCTGTGTGCTGAAGCCGGTTACGGCATCGAAGGCAACTTG